GTCGGTCATGGCCTACTTTAGAAACATTTTTTGTGAATAATTCATTTAGTAATTAATTGTGGTGGATAGTTTTTAAAATTGAATTTTTTATACAATTTCGAATGATCAACCTATTTAGTATTATTTTTTCTTATCATTCATCGATCACGCCTTTTAAGTGAAAACCGACATAAAATGAAAGTTGTTTTAAAGGGTAATTGCCTCAATTATTTCTAAGCATCAAATTTATGATGTATACTAGACGTATTTTTTTGTATTTGTTTAACTGTACCTACTTGAAATAAACATTTGGCCTCTCCTGCTTTGTCAAATGTGAAGGTGAAGAGTAAAATGAGCTGATTAATTTTACCTTTAGATCAGAACTGTTCTTGGTCATATTGTAAGGCGAAAAGCTTTCATTATGAAGGCCCTACAGGCTGCTATTTTTGTGATATTTGAACTATACAGTCCATCGATTCAGTCCATTTAACGTGAAGTGCTCGATCTTATTCCCATCTAGCCTCTCCTCTTTTGTATTCTTTTGTCTAATGTGAAAATAAAGAGTAAAATGAGCTGATTAAATCTTGCCTTTAGATCAAAACTGTGCGTTTTGGCATGCAGAACATTAATTTTTAAAAAATGCAAAAAAAAAAATAAAAAAATGCCTTTGTTTATAAGTTAATGTTATATTGCAAATAAGCAATAAAAATATAATTCTATAATTAATGTTGATTATAGTGCCTAAATTATGTAGGTATATGTGTAATTAGACTGATTTGAATAAACTTGTTTTTACAGAATCGCTAGTGGAATTAATAACAGATCGAGTGCATCCACACGTACGATTTTCTATAATCCTGATTTTAAGAGTTGTATTTATTAGATTATATCACGAATCAATAAAATACATGACTTGACATTTTAATTTGACATTCACAAAAGCACAGCCGTGTATAATTAATAGTTCACGTTTTTGATTTACACACGAAACAACTAATGAACTAATTACATTACTCTATAAAAAAAAATAAAGTTTCATAATATATTATGTATGAAATTTCGGATTAAAAAATGTCTGATATGATGCAATGCGACGTTATCCTATAATGAAGTGTTGATACCATCACACTAGTGACGAATTACTTAGAACATGCATTGTGGTAAGAAATAATATTAAATATTGTGTCTTTCAGAATTCATAACGCGTGATCTCGTCCCAATTTGAGCATACCTCGAATTTGGGATGAGACAGCAAAACATAGTAATAGCTTCTAGCTACTTCGCCGGAGATACGGCTCTAACACTTCCAGAAGTATCGAGGCTAGTGGAGTACTGCCAGAGAAGAAATCTGCCATTACTTCTTGGATGCGACGCCAACGCGCACAGCACCATATGGGGAAGCAACAATACCAATTAAAGAGGAGAGCAACTTCTAGAATATATTTTTAATAAGCACCTTATTGTGCAAAATATTGTGTACATGTGTACCAAGGACAAGAAGTGAGGTATTTGATATCACATTAAGTACACCGATCATTAAAGATCTAGTTACAAACTATCTCTATTTGATCACAAGATAATTGTGTTTACGTAAGAGAGCGACACAACTGAGACGATTTTCAAGAGGGATCCTAGAAAATACAACACCATTCTAAAACCAAAAAGGGGCACAGGCACCCACTTGCTCTGGAAAAGTATTTTAAAGAACTAAATGAGGCAATACTTGAGGCAAATGAATCAAGTTGCCCCGTTCAAAGAAATGGAACTAGTAGGGATGCTCCTTGGTGGAACCGTCTTCTGTTAAACTTACGATCCGAAGAGCGGAAACTCTATAATAGGGCCAAGAACAGCTCAGATTGGCAGAGTTATACCGAGGCACTTACCACCTACGACAAAGAAATCAGAAAAGCTTCAGAAAATTTTGGGAGGGTATTAACCTGCGGCAGCGAGACTGCACAAGTCCCTGACAAAAGGGAGAGTTGATACAGTTATGGCGGTAAAAAAATCAAATTGAACTTCACGGAGAGTGAGGAGGAAAGAGTTCGCCTCTTACTCGAAACTCACTTTCCTGGAAGCACACATTTTCTAATAAGGGACAAAACTAAGGTAAGAAAGGCCAAACACATATGCAGAAGAAATCGGGCCGTAAACACTTTTGAACCCTTTAAGTCTCCAGGTGTGGATGGGAAATTTCCTGCCCTGCTTCAGCGGGCACAGCAGGAATTACTACCATACATAATCCGGATATCCTGGAGCAGTCTGGAACTAGGATATGTAATATACCAAAATCATGGAGAAGAGCCATAGTCACCTTTATTCCAAAAGTAGGGAAAAAGGATATCACACATCCCAAATCCTTCCGACCAATTAGCCTCGCATCCTTTGTATTAAAAACAATGGAGAAGGCTGTTGATAATTATATTAGAGCAGAAGTCCTGGAGAGAGTACCATTTCACTATGGCCAGCACGCGTACCGAGCAAAAAGATCTACAGAAACTGCCCTGGTACATGCAGCTGACTAACGAAATCCACAATACACTGACAAACAAAGAAATGATCCCGTGTGCCCTCCTAGACATAGAAGGAGCATTTAACAACAGGCCACACAAATCTGTCAAAAGAGCACATATACAGAGGAGTAGACAGCGTTACATCCAGATGGAGGGCTCAGCTAATATCTTCGAGAACTGCAGAGACACAGATAGGGCACGAACCCCTCTTTATCTGCACAAACAGAGGATGCAAATTGGATGAGATGGGATAGATATAGAATGGAAAAATGATGTCAAATATCTAGGCGTAATAATGGACAAGAAAGTTCTCTGAAACTAACACGAGAAGGAAGTAGTATAAACTATGGGGATGTAACCCGAACACACTGCGATTGATGTATACTGCAATAGTGAGATTAATCATTACTTACGGGACTATAGCCTGGAGTAACAGAACTAGTTTGCATCACTTTCGGCCGCAATGGAGTTGATCTTAAACCTCGCAACTCTACATTTAATGATAGAGAATGTGACAAAAAGGACACAATATAGAATAATCCAGAACGGAGTAATCAGACGAAAGTTTATTAACTGCAGGACCGAAAATACTTGGGATATGCCCCAAGATGAAATGAGAAAGAAGTACAGTTTTGTGAAAAAGATCAAAACTACAGAGCTGGACTGCAAGAAAGAATGGAGCTAAGAATCCATTATTCTTGCAACCAAAAGACATGCTATTCAGTGGTATACGGATGGTTTTAAAACCATAGAAGGAACTGAAATAGGAGTGTATGGGCCTAGAACCAGGCACTCTGAAAGTTATAGAAGAGGGAGATTCACCTAACTTGAAACCACTCCAAATCCTACACTTCCTTCAGAAGATAGGATTAGAAGAGTCGGTATAGACATTTAGACATTTTCTTGCTGCACTAATGACAAACGGAGGCACAATAGATCTTTTAGGTCACAGTGTATTAACACCCCATTCTAGTGTTGCCAGTCTAGTACAATTGTACTATATCTAGTACATTATTTAATAATATGGTACTTTAGTACACTCGAAGCAAAATCTAGTACTTTTTTCAGCGTATGTTCCATTTGAAGTGTAAAATATATTGTTCAAAAATTTCCAGAGAAATTAAAATATTTGTTAAAAATTGCTTTAGAGATAAAATAGTAGACATTTCTCGAGAGATAAAACATTGTTTAAAAATTGCACGAGAGATCAAATATTGTTCAAAAATAGCTTGCGAGGAAAAAAAGGGTGTTAAAAATTGGTCAAAGGATAAAATAGTATTAGAAATTGCTTAAGGGGTAAAATATTGTTCATAAATTGGTTTAGGGATAAAAATATTGTTAAAAATTTAATGAGAGGTAAAAAAATTTAAAAATTGTTTGAGATATTAAATAGTATTATAAATTGATAAAATCGTGTTCAAAAATTGCTCGAGGTAAAGTAGTATTACAAAATGTTAAAATCTTGTTTAAGAATTGCTCGAGGGATAAAATACTGTTGAAAAATTTGTTGAGAAATAAAATATTGTTTAAAATTGACACGAGAGATACTGTTAGAAATTTCTCGAGAGATAAAACATTGTTTAAAAATTCCTCGAACGATAAAATACGACTAGAAATTGCTCGAGAGATAAAATATAGTACAACCATTGCTTGAGAGATAAATAAGCTGTTAAAAATTGCTAGAGACATAAAACACTGTTAAAAATTTATCGAGAGTTAAAATATTGTTATTAATTTGTCGAGAGTTTAAATATTGTGCAGTTTGCTAAAACGATAAAAAAAAGTAGTTAAACATTTCTCGAGAGATAGAACAATGTTAGAAATTGATCTATAGATAAAATATCGTTACAAATAGCTGAAAAATAGCTAAAAAAAGGTTTAAAAATTATTCGAGAGATAAAATAGTGTTATAAATTGATAAAATCTTGCACAAAAATTGCACGAGAGATCATATATTGTTCAAAAATAGTTTGAGAGGTAAAAAGGCTGTTTAAAATTGCTCGAGTGATTAAATAGTGTTAATAATTGTACAAAAAATATTGTAAAAATATTGCTCGAGAGATAAAAAAGGTTTATAAACTGTTCGAGAGACAAAATAGCATCATAAGTTATTAAAATATTTTTCAAAAATTGCTCGAGAGATAAAATAGTGTCAGAAATTTGTCGAGAGATAAAATATTATTTAAAATTGTTGTGTTTGTGTTCTCTATAAATTTTTTTTTGCTTTTTATTGACCACCCTTCACAATTAGAAAACCTGGTAACTTTACAGAATCTAGTACATTTTTATGTAATCTGGTACATTTTTTAGACAAATCTGGTACATTACAAAAACGTATTCTGGCAACACTGCCCCATTCCCAACATAACATAACATACCATCAATAGTTTAAACAATGTATAACAAACAATGGTTGAATCCCACATATAAAGCAATATTTGATTTTCAAACTCGATGCATAAAAACATTATTGATATTATCCACAAAATAATGAACTTTTCATTGTTCTAGGACAAAAGTATGCAGTATATCAGGTCAAAACATGTCTGATAAAATTCATGTTGGAATTTGAAATGATGGAAGACTTAAATTTCAAACCAGAAATTGGAATGTGTTCAGTTTTGAAATCGAGGAACGGCATCAAAATTAAATTAAAACCCAGAAATCGGATCTAATTAAATGGTCAGTGCACATTTTAATTAATTAGTGGAAAATTCTGTGAAATCTGTGAACGTGCAGGGTTGCAATTAGTAAGTTTGAACGTTTGTCTAGATGATATTGTTTTATTTTTTTCTTTGACGTAATAAAGGATAAAAAAAATAATCTATTTTATTTTCCATTTACTTTGTATATTTCGTTGTTATTATAAACACATTTATAATGCTTTAGAGTTTAGTGTATAATAAGTGGATTTTATAAATTTATTAATATTTTTTATTGTTGTATGGGGAATAGAAGAATCAAATATTAGCCAAAACTAGCAGAAATGAAAAAATATATGGTGAACAAATATAATTAATAAGTTTGAACAACTGTCTGTCATCGACTATTTAAAAAAAAATATTAGAAAGTCATAAATAAAAAAAAAAAAAAAATTTTAAGTGAAAAATCAAATCCTGAATGTTTACAATGTGGGTTATCAAATGTACGGCCTATCGGGCGTCATTAATCCCTTAAGCCAAAGGTTTTCTGGCTATATTGTCACTCTACGGACATTAGCATCTTAAAAAACACTTTCAATTTCAAATACTACAAATTATTCTTTTTAACTGAACAGTATATAATTTTTGCAACATACTAATGTTTGGTGGTGAAGTAACTCATACAATCCTCGCAGACTCTGGTGTCCTTCGGGGTTCTAATTTAGGTTCTCTGCGTTTCTTAATATTTGTCAATGATCCCACTGTATGTGTTACATCAGACTTTCTCATAATATGTAGATGATATAAAAGTTTTTAATACAATATCCAGCTTAGAGGTATATCTAGACATTTAAAATCAATTTCGGATTGATCAATGGGAAATAAATTACTTTTTAATGTTTCCAAATGAAAGGTAATTACATTCAGTAAAATTCGTAATTCTCAAAATTGTATCTACACAATGCAAGGCTTGTAACCTACCGCACCCAGGTACCTTAATAATTTATTAATTCCATTTATTAAATATAATATTGCATTCTTAATAAATTCAAAATCCTTCATTTAACGAAAAATCTCCCAGATAATTAAATAATATCTATAACCACGCCCGTAAAATATCCAAATTTCATGCACGTGTCTGGGAACATAGACTATAAAACATATTTCTTTTCACAAAGTAATTTTAATTAAAATACTTAACTCGCTTATCTTTCTAGTTTTAATGTTAAAACCGATTTAGACAATATTTCGATACCCTTTGGCTCTCAAGGAACATAATAAATAAGCCACCCCCTGCACCCAGATTCGTATTTCGATGAAAACTAAAGATATAGAGACGTCACAAAAGTCATTAAAATTTAGCATAAGAAGCCAGACCCAAAGGAGCTCGGAATCATTCATTTTTAATTATTTGATATGCATGCATTCAATTTTTATTATTTGATGTGCAAGCATTCATTTATTCTTTGTACCCAGTTATATTTCAAGTTCAGTAGTCAGTACCTTTCCTAAAACGTTCTTCCTAAACAACGTCTATCCTACAAAGTATCCTATTCCCGAACGCTGTCAACGTCCTACGCCTTATTTACGACGCTTGCCGTCCCTAAATATATCCTTCAAAATATCCTTGTCGACATCCTTCGTCACATTCCACACCCCCTACATAATTTCACCGTATATCTGTCTCAATGCAGTACCGTATTAAATACCTTTCTCTCCATCACGACGCTAAGCGCCTCGACGCAAAGCGACGCTCAACGGTGCGACGTACCTATATCGACGCCGTCACAACGCTAGATGAAATTAGTACTTAATCTAATGCCTGTATTTTCAATGGTGAGTCAAAATATTTATGTAACTTTCTTTGAGATACCACCGGGGTTTCGTTTAAACGAGGGCTTTTGACATTTGCTACAAAATATTATCAATCTAACCAATAAACCACATGGCCTTTAGGTCATACACCCCGAAAGACAGGATAAACGTCTGTTTTCGATGGGTGAAATTTTGAGTATTTCAATAGAAATTATAAAAATCAATATTAAGAAATATACAGGGTTGTATTAAATAATTTCAATAAAAATTATAATAATCAATATTAAAAAATATACAGGGTTGTAGTAAGTTAATTCAATAGAAATTATAAAAATCAATATTTTAGAATTATACAGGGATGTGCTATCTTGGATAAATTATATAAACCAACAGAGCTGGGTAATTGCATATACTTTAAAAATAATTACAATTTCAAAAAAGGAATTAATTACAAGTACAAAGTACACGTTGTAAAAATAGGAATTAAATTGATTTAATTACAATTATATGAAAAAAATGAATTAGCAATTACTTTTATAATTACTTTTTTAATTACTTTGCCTATAAAACAACAAATTATAAATGAACCAACCAGACCAGTACAAATAAAAGTTTTAAATAGGTAATTCAAAGTGTTAAACTAACAGCTGTTTTCAATGACTCTCAAAGGGACCAGAAGAAGGAAGTACCGTATTATATTTAAAAAACACAAGGGTTAGCTATCTAGCATGGTAATATTTTCCCTAAATCATCGAGATATTGTAACACTTCAAACTGTACAACCAAAGGTATTATGCCTTCATTGAAATCAAAAAATTCTTAATTTATAATATCTTTGGTTGTAGTACTAATAAAATTAGCTTTCAAATAAAGTGTCACACTTTACCCTAGGTAATTATTTTTATCCCGCTAAAAGGCGCTAAAATTGAAAGGAACGCTATCAATTCCCCATAAAATTTCCTTTCCAACGATGCAGGACCGTAGCTAGCCCCATGTTTTAGAGGGGGCTAAACAAAATCTTGGGGGAGCTTTATTTTCTTTATTAGAGTATAAAAATTCCAAAAAAACATGAGGAGTTTTGTTTTGAATTCCTTCCTCCGAGGAGGGCATTAAAAAGACGAGCAATTACAAAACACATATTTATTCAATAAAAAATATTTTAAGCAAAAGAATGAATTCTACAACAAAAAAATATAAAACGTCTTTTCCTATGAACATTTAACTGGTTGAGGGTTGAGTTAGTAAAAGCGGTATCAAATATGCAAAAAATTTAAAAAAATATTTTTTTTTATCAATTTTCAGAATAATTAATTGCAGTTTCCTATTTTTTAAATTATTAAACTCAACCAGCAGATTTTCAATATTTATGTTTTTTGTTCTCTTTTTCAAATGCTAAATGGGTAAGGTTTGCCAGTCTCGGATGTAACATTGACCTCCGCTGAGGTGGCTGAGGTCTATTAATTCTAGTAAGGGCAGAAAAACTGGATTCACAAAGAGCCGTACTACAGGCGAAAGTACGCCAAGTTGCTAGAAATTCATAAGTTTCTTTAAAAGCAGTGTTTTGCCTAAAAATACACTGAAAAATATCGGGATTCTCTGCAGCATTCTCGTTTTTCTGTCGATTTATATATTTCTTGACGACTTCTACTTCTGCAGCACTTGTTAATTGAATGCCCAGTTCGGCCAGTGGTTGATATTTTTCAATATCTAATTTTTTTCTTGACATAATAGCTTTAATTAAATCATTGTTGTCATTAAATCTACGTCTTAGCTCTACTAATATTATGTCAAGAACTTCAAAAAATATTTATTTGAAATCTGCTTCGCTAACGACTGTAGATCTCATAGGCTCGGTAAGTACAAAATATTCACACTGTTGGGTTTTCTTTTTCTTGGGGGTGATTGGTCAACATATATTGATTATATGGGGGTGATTGGTCTTATATGTTTACCGAAAGAGTAACAGTAGTTGGCGTATGTGTGTCGAAATAAGAAGACAGTACCTACCTATATAAATAGTGCGTATAAGGTACTTCAAAGGTTTCGTAGATTAGCATTATATGTCCTGAATTTTCGCTTTACGCCTTATCATACCGGTTTTAGATAATTATAATTATTTTTGTGTAATAATAATCTCCTTGTTTCGGCTCGAAATACAAATCCTTGCGTATTATGTGATATAGATACATTTCGATCGATTGATAAAAACAACGTACACAGATACCAGCGATTATTTACTATTAGATAACAAGTCGCATATTTTGTTTTCTGAATCTAGGACGTTTTAAATCTACAATGGAGGTGTGTTCGTTTAGTAAACAAATATCTATGCATATTTGCGTCACGTTCTAATGCCAATAAAAGCAATAACAATAAGATAATACCTAAATTAAAAACAAAATTGTAACGTTTTCCTATTAATAAAATTATCTAGACTATATTTATATTATGTTATACATTTCTGATCAAAATTTTTTTGCGTGGCACAAAATTGATCGAAAACGTTTAATCGGAAACAGTTGATCGAATGCATTTGATCGAAAAAGCATTTTATCGAATAACAAATGAATGAATGAATGATGAATATAATTACCACTTTCTTAAAAAAATTCAGGAAGAATGCCTTGTAACCACCATTGAATATAAATTTCAACTAAGACACTTTTTAAATTGTCTGGTAAATTTCTAATCAAAGAATAAGAAAAGCTATCTTTTCCAGGAGCTGTGTTACAAGTGGTTTTAATTGCTAATTCTAGTTCAGTTAAAGTTATTTTTGAAATGTTATTTTTATTTCCTAATTCCCTATTATTTACCAGCTAAGGAATAAAACTTGGATCAACAAATAGCGGTGCAATATGGTCAAATAATTGTTTTATTAGATCTGGAGCCAGAACAGTTTTGTTATATTTATTTTTGTTTGAAATACTTTTAATATATCTCCATACTGAAGATATTGGAGTATATTTGTTTAGATTACTAACAAGTTTTTTTCAGCTGTTCTGTGCTTTTTGTTTGAATATCAGCTTAAATTTGATGTGTAACTATAGTTGCATAAAGCTATCTTTCTACTCTCAACTAAATCGGAACACTCAGAGTCCCACCATGCTGGAAGAAACCTTGAAGGAGTAAAATGATTGTTTCTGGGCATAGATAAATCTGCAGCTGCCGTGACAGCTTCAATGAAATTTGGGAATGAAATGGATTTAGATGATGAAGAGGTAAAAATATTGTCCAAATATGATTTGAAGGAAACCCAGTAAGCCTTTTTTTCGTTCCAGATATTTGAAGGAAACACCTTCTGTTTATCGGGATTATTTGTAATAGGAAGATGATAAAAACCCATAGTATCAGAAATTG